CTCTCTCTCTCTCTCTCTCTTTCTCTCTCTCTCCTTCCCTCAAAAGCTGAAAGTAGATTAAAAATAAAAGTACAGAAATAGTAAACTAAAAAAAACAAAGGTAAGGTGTAAGAAAAGAACAAATAATGATCGAAAAAAAAAGTCAAACTCAAAAAGGCGGATGAGCTGATCAAAAAAAAAAGAAACTGAAAAAAGTGACCAACGTGCAAACTTAAATGACAATCCAAAGAAGGCAGAAAGTCTCAAAGAAGTAAAGACACAAATAAAGAAAAATACTGAAAATACATTTCTCAAGAAAACAGAAAAAGTACAGTTCTCTGTTACAAAGGTCTACTTAAGTCCTCCATTCGAAACTTTCTGGACCTACTTTGTACATTTTCCGAGGGGCCAACAGAGGGGTAGCCATGACCTCATGCCCGAGAGATTTTTTTTTTTTAACTTACTTACTTCTACTTAGATGGGGGATTGGGAGGGGTGGGGGTGAGGGAGAACTTAAATAGACCCTTTTTTTAAAATCGAGAACTGCTTTTTTTTTTAATTCATCATTTTGTAGGTTCTAAACACACACAGACACATAATGTGAAATAACGTAATCATGACAGCTTGGAAAGGTGATGTGACTGAATCAAGAGCATATATAATAAGTGTGAGCTGGATACCAATACTCCAGTCTGCACAGGTACATATTGATGGCTGAATGCGAGACTCCCGACAAATCCAAAATTTAAATAGCAAAATGGCGTTTGCCGGAGTCTTGCAATGCATCCACCCGTTAATTGTACACATATTATGCGTCACTGTGAGGGCGAGTGCAAAAACATAACATGTGAAACTTTCTAGATTCGGAGGGTACAACATTCAAGGGGAGCAAGTGAATTTCTTTTGTTTTATTTTATATTTAGTTTAGTTTTTGAGAGCGTTTTATATACAGCACTTGCAACACAAATAGGTCGTACAAGTGCCGAAGATTAGAGATGTTACTAGAGAGTGACATACAAAGAAAAGAGGGAAGAGAGATGAGGATGATAAATGTTTGATAGGAAAGAAGGTGCAAACTACACCATAGCACCCGCCAACCACCCAAAAGCAGGTGAAGTGAAGAGTAACGTTGAAAAAAAGATGAAGATAACAAAGAAAACCACATAAGGACCACCCTGATGCCTTCATACGGAGTATCTAAGAGAGAGAGGGAGGGAGGAAGAAGTGTGGGGAGGGGGGGAGAGAGTGGACAGGAGAGAAAGAAACAGAGAAAGAAAGAGAGAGAGAGAGAGACAAGGATAGAGAGAGAGTAAAAGAGAAAGAAAGAAAGTTAGAGAGAGTAAGAGAGGGAGAGAGAGAAAAAGATAGAAGGAGAGAGAGAGAAAGAGAGAAAGAGATAGAGAAAGAATAATTATATCTCAGGAATACTTAACATACAACTTGTCATGTTTATGAGTCTTTTTTTTTTTTAAGTGCAGAAAAAAACACACACATACACACAAAATCCAGACCCAGTGCAAGTTTTCAGAAATGAGAAATACTCGTGCCCTTACAGCCATTACAAGAGATAAATGTTAGAAAAATAACAGACAGAGTATTAATTTGTTCCCATAACCTGCAATAACGACATGTGCTAAATACATGAACATTTTTGTGTTGAATTAAAAGAAAATGTATGAAACAGTCCTTTAAATACCTGGTTTCTTTGATAATTCTTCAAGAAAAAAAAAGACCAATGAGAAATTCTTGAGTATTGTGCAGTCGCGATTCAGTGCAGTTATCTTTGTAATAGTCCGTAAAATAAGCAAGGAACAAGAAGTATACAAGTATGTTCGTCAAAGAAATCACATACTTGTCTGTACAGAAATCTATAAGTTTTGTCTGTTTAATAAGAAAGGGAAAACAGTTACAAAAGCAAGGTCTTCTTTCATCAAAGAAAATACACACTTGTGCCTTCAGAAATCAAAATGTACCGTAATTGCCTGTATAAAAAGCATGGGTAAAAAAAAATATACAAGTATATTTTTCTTATATCAAAGAAGACCCACGTTTGTCTCAACAGAAATCTCCAGATTGCTCAGTTAGAAATCTGAGTTGTAGCTTAAGGTAAAATCAGTACAATAAGAGCCTCATTTTGCCAGAAAAAACAACATTTAAGGATCATAGCAATACAGAGAGAAAGCAGAACTGGCAGATCACCGTAGGAAGAATCCTAATACGCCCTTGAACTTTGAGTAAGAGAAGCACATCAACCCAACAATGGTCATTTAGAGCTGAGAAAAAGTAAGACAGACAAAAAGAAAGAAAGAACAGAGGGAAAGTACAGAAGTAGGACCTACCAGTGGCGTACACCAACCATCAGCAGAGCCCATGAACATTTAGAGCATAATAATAGATAGCATTTGTATAGCGTGAAATACCGCTCAACAGCAAGCTCTATGTTCTTTACAATCTACGTTATTACCCCAGCAGACCTGACAGCATCCTAAAACATCTCACACATAATAATAGAAAACATTTGTATAGCCCAAACTACCGCTCAACAGCAAGCTCTACGCAGTTTACAATCTATGTTATCATCCCAGCAGACCTGACAGCATTCTGAACCAAGCTCAACTTCCCGGGAAGCGTACACATTATGCAAGCTAACACAAACTGCTGTCACTTTGTGAATCCGTATGCTCATGTATGAGTTGTACGTATTCATGTATGTGCTCAATCTGTAGCACATTGACAACATGACACCAAAAAAAAGCCAAGGAAAGCAAAGCCATTCAGGTTACTCACAAACAACGTTTAAGGACACACAAATACCATAAGGAGACACAAATACCATAAGGACACACAAATACCACGTATCAATTATCAACGTTTCACTGCACAACAGCGTCTTCACAGTCACTCACAGATTATTTTCACAACCATAAATATACAACATTTGACAGAATATTACAGCTTCAAATAATAGTATGACATTGCTGGTGACTGCTGGGGG